AGAGAGGAAGGGAGAGGGAGAGAGAGAGAGAGAAACATCGGTGAGAGACAAACATTGATCAGCTGCCTCCTGCACACCCCTACTGGGGATTGAGCCAGAAACCCGGGCATGTGCCCTGACCGGGAATCGAACCTGTGACCTCTTGGTGCATGGGCGATGTTCAACCCCTGAGCCATGCTGGCCGGGCAAGAACGCTCTAATTTTTAATCAGCAACACAGAGATGCCTCTACGGAAGTGGCTGTGCTTTTCAGCCTGCACGGGAATAGTTTCCTAGAGCGAGGTCACCAGGAGCACAGCAGAGAATCCCAGATGGTGCTGACGTTTGACTGCATTTTCAGCAAGCTGCTGCCCAGCGGCCGGGTAGGAGGGCTGACCTCTGGCCCTTCTGCCTCCCTGCCTGCCACTCCGATCGCCCTGGCGAATGTGTTTCATAAGGTTCTCCCGGCCCCTCGGAGACTGATGGCTGGTGGCCGCCCGCTTGGTTAGGCCAAGGCTCCGTGTGGCTGAGAGCCACACTCTGGAAAAGGGGAAATCCTAGCTCCTCAGCATCTCACTTTCCCTGCAACCCCTCCATTTGCTCATGTGCACCCGAGATTGTCATCTCAGCTTTCCAGGTGCACCTCTGATTTGTATCCGTTTTGAACTTATCCTTTTTTAATTTTTCTGCTGTCTTCTGTGACATGGATAAATTACGAATGTATAAGAAATCCTCTAGAAATGACTAAACCTAGCTGTTTCCACGGACCCACTAGCCATGGAAATCTAATGATATTAAGGTGAACATTGCCCTGTCTTGTAGCTCCGGTGGTGGAAGGCACAGGCCTGGGTGGAGCTCTGGACTCGGTCATACTCTTTGCATCAGCAGAAGCTGCCGCGTCCTAGCATGTAAACGAGTGACGTCATCAGTCCCACAGGGCTGGGATTGACGTGACGGTTAAACAAAAGAACTGAACAGCCTGTGGCTGTCACCGTGTCTGTACAGAGAAAATGCACTGTGAATGGTGGCTGGCAGTGTGCTTAGTACATTTTTGTATATGTGTATAAAGTAAATAAAACATAAGTGATAGCATAATTTTGTTTAGCTTTTATTTGGATTGCAAGGGAAGCAAATTGTCGAGGAGGAAGTTTTCCATAATCAGATCGGCGCTTTGTTTCCAAATGTTTCGTGAAATGATTTTATTCGCTGTTACAGATCCTTACGTCATTCACACACCTGTGTAGAGATGGGCTCTGTGGCAGAGCAGCACCCCCTTCCCCTTCCTCGGCCTCTCCAGCTAGTTTATAGCTCAGGGCTGTGGCTGGAGAGCAGAAAGGACTGTCCAGCCTGTTCTATGCTTTTCCTGGCAGGTTGACTTACGTGGCTATTCTGGAAAGTTCTCTGGGAACACTCGATTTTGGGGAGAATCAGGTTGCTTAAATCCTAGAGGGTTGCTGGCTGTGACACAGTGAAATTTCGGCGCATGTTTTAAGGCAAAACCCACTCTTGGCTCTTAGAAAACGTTGCTCACGGAATAGCCTTTTTGCTNGAGTGGCTCTTAGAAAACGTTGCTCACGGAATAGCCTTTTTGCTTGAATCAGATCTCTGCCCCGTGGGATGTTGATGATTGAATTTCCGATGACTGGACGGCTCCTTTGATGTGAAACTTTCTTCTGAAGTTCTTCTTTTCCCGTTTTTCTAGGTCTAACATAAGGCCTGACTATGCTGACTCCAATTTCCATGAGTTTAAGATGCACACCTTCAGCCGGGTGACCTCCTGCAAGGCCTGCCAGATGCTCCTCAGGTGAGCTCGACGGGGCCTGGAGCTCAGTGTACGGGAGCCGGTGTCGTTGCTGAGCGTCGCAGACCTCTCCAGCGTCCCCGGCCAAACGTCCTGAAGTGGGGGTGTTGTCTTAACAGTGTGGACCCCACAGAGCTCTCCTCGGCCTTGAACCTGGACAGGCCCTCTCGGCCCCAGGGAGGTCCCTGCCTCTGCCGAGCGGTCCTCGCCCATAGCACAGTGCTCCCTTGTTTTCCTTTCTCGCGCTAGTGATTTTGTGAAGCCCCGGTTAAGCGATCCCTCTCTCATTTTGCCTCGCAGGGGAACGTTTTACCAAGGCTATTTATGTTTCAAGTGTGGTGCTAGGGCACACAAAGAATGTCTGGGAAGAGTCGACAACTGCGGCGTCACTTCTGCCGGTAAGTCGTGTCTGCTGTTGCAGTTTTGCTTCTAATCAGGACGTCAAACTTGCTAAACATAAATTAGGCCTCATCAGCTTTTCCTATGTGTTTACTGTAACATGTCTGCATCGGAAACTGTCATTGACGAGCCCAGGTGAGAGACCCGTTGAAAGTCACGTGACTTTGCCGCACGCCTGGAAGGCGGAGGGTTCAGGTCCAGTTTCAGGAGGAGTTTGGGAGGTTTCATGCCCCCATTCCGCTCACCCCAACCCCTAGTCTCACTAACGCCGCATTAATTAATTAATGACTTTGTGTAAAGTATTACAGATGTCCCCTTCTCTGTCTCCAGCCCCTGAAATGCTCCCCATCCCCTTAAATATTCAGCTCAGAGGTAAAGGCTAAGGACACCAGCAGCAGACATCACGCAGAGTAACTCGTGGATTCACAAGCCGAGTCCATTGTCACTTCCCAGCATTCGCAAAGGGCAGCCGTTCTCTGGATTCCGTATAAATATTTTCCCCTAGGTTTTTAGAAATAACGCCGCACGACTGTGACAGGGATCCGTTTCCGAGCTGCGGGCCGCTCCGCGTTCAGCGGCCGCCCGCCTCCCCTCCTCCCCGGCTCGATTCCTCCCCTTTCTGTCCTGGCTCCTTTGTTCTTTCTCTGTCCTGTCCTCTCTCTTTGTCCCCCCCTCGCCCCAGGTTCCTCTGTGTTTTATCAATGAGACCTTTCAAAACCAGGGACACTTTATCAAGAGAAGAAAGGGATCTTGAGCAGCTGGAGTTCGTTCAAAAGGTGGACATGGAAATTTTTTGGAATAATCTGAAGAAGGGCGAGCCAGGGAAAAATAGGGCGGTTCAGGGCTGACTTCAGAGACCAGGCGATTGGAGGGAAGGTGTGAACCCTGTTAGCGGCTTGGTCGGGGCAGCCGTGGTGGACGGATGAGGGAATGGCTAGACCGACCAACAGGTGGGCAGATTCATGACTGTAGGGCACCTGGGTGTCGGGGCCCCGAAGATCACGCTCGTCTTAGAGACAGAAGCAGGAGTTGTGGGGGAGATGGTGCAGACTGTGGGTCCACCCTCCCAGCGACTAGCGCTTGGCTGGGTGTGGGCTAAGTAGGAGAGAAGCTCGCCTGAGTGCCTGGCTGGCACTTTAAGAACGAATGATAGGAAACTGATTGCATTCCTTTCTAATATTTATGCAAGGCAAGGCTCATGCACTGAGCATCGATCATTAGGCCTTTCACAAGGTTAATAAGTGGCAGGAAAGTGAACCAGCTCACAGGGCACCTCATGACAAAAATACCTTTATTTCTGGAGAAATCTATTCCCTGGTCCCGTGAGTCCATATTTAGAATTCTTACTGGGCTCTTCCTGTTGCCTCTCCTTGAGATACGCTTTCTTTTTCCCCCCTGTGGCTCCAAGGTCCTACTCTTTTTCTGTCCTCCAGGCTCTTTGCCAATCGTTGAACCTCTCCTTGACCACCCAGCGCTGGTCTGATTTAAATTGTCCTCTTATTTTCTGTGTAGGTTTTATTGTATATGCTTCAAAGTTAGGCTGTGTTATGCTCACTAACCTCCCCCCCTCCGGTTCCCAGGGACTTGAACACATAACAGTTTATTTCTCCCATGCGTGGCGCTGTGGGCTCCTGGTCCTCTGGGGTGGCTCTCTCCTCATTAACGACTTGGGGATCCAAGCCAGTTCCATCTTGTGGCTCTGCTGCTTCAACACACGGCCTCCAGGGGTGCTGCTCTTGAGACCCACGGACTGGAAGCGGGCATTTCCGTTTTGGGTGACCACAGCCCATTGGTTAAAACCGGCCCCATGATCTCAGCTGAATGACGAGGGAAGCTGGACGTTGTAGCGGAACGTGTAGTGGGCTGTGGTGTGGTGAGCCCTGCTGTCTCCGACGCTTTTTATCTCCTCTAGTGGATTACGTGCCCCTTCACGAAAGGGCATGTGTTTCTCATTTGTATCCACCACTTAGTGCTGTGTCCAAAGTCAGGGCGCACAGTACCTAGGAGTTAACCCTTTCTCCCTCAGTAGGAACATTTCAGCCCCCCTGCGATTCTTGGTAGTGTTGGATGTGGCTGAATACTCACCCCTGAGCATTTCGAAGCTCTTAGTCACTTCTTTTTGTGGAGGTTAAGCCTCCTTTGGACGTTGTCTTCTCTGAGTTCAGAAGCCTTTTCTGTTTCATGCTCTGAATCCCTTAAATTTATCTAGTCTTCATTCATCCTTGAAATAATTACTTGGCAGAAAATGCTGTGCATTCCGGAATAAAGGAAGTAATTCATTCTCGTGAGCATCTGACTCTGATTACGAACTTAAGTACATATGAAGTATGAAAAAACAGGTATTTTAATTAAGTTTTTTTTTCTTTTTCCTATTTATAAGACCAACTATGCAACTTGGAGACAGATCTGACGGTTGGGCGATTAGTTTATGTCTTCACATTTGAAAACATGCCCGGATATAAAGAGAGAGTGGCAGCTCCACTCTCTTTCTTGCTGAACTTGAGTTGCCTCCCTGACCTTCTCCATGGCAACCTCCGTGACCAACACGCACGCGGGCTTTGAAGTGTCTGCCCAAACTTCCCAGCTTCATAATGACTAGGTAGGGCTCCATTATATGAGATTTTCCGAACAAGTCACTGCAAAGCTGATGTCATTCCGGGGCGGCATTTCTCTCTCACCGAATTCCCCCGTCAAGGTCTGATCCGAGACCCCAACCTCTGGGGACAATTGAGGTTTTCCCCTAACACCTGGCTAAAAAACCCCTCAGTCCCCTCCTTACCCTGACATTGATCAGTACAGCTCGCTTTGCGCCCTCTGGGTTTAAATTAAAAGTAACATTGGCGGTAAATGCTTCTGGGGCAGACAACCTTGGTTTAATGCACATGCACCGTATTTTCCCCTCGAGTGGGATACAGGCCTCAGCTGCTCTGATGTTTAGCCGAACGAAGCACATCCCCACTTGCTGATGTGTTTCATTGCTCTCTGATCTAGGCCAGCCACTGCTCCGGCTGCTGCTCTTAGTTGGAAAGGTGTCCTAATGGCTTAACCCTGCAGGTTTGCTACCTAGAACCGGCCCCCCTCCCAGTTGGCATCTGAAACAGCTCTTGTAAAGAGAACGGCAGTATTTTAACATGAGCTAAGCGATGCACATAGAATTTTATGTCAGCCTTCTACCACCAGGCATTTTAGGAGATTACTTTCTCATGAACCGAGGCTTGACCGTCGAGTACATAACCCAAAACTGGCTTTGGTTCTACTTTGTAGTACTTAAATCCTGTCCTGTTATATAAACCAGTCTTTTTTTTTTTTTTTTTTAAACTTACCAAGACAGTTTCACACTCAAGGATGGCTATTACTCCTTCCATTTGAGTATTTGGGCCAGTTGAATGACATATTAATAATTATGAAAGTGACCTGGGAGCTATTACATGGTTGAGTTCTTGTTAGAGCTCCTGAGAAGACTTGAAATGAAAGCCCCTTTCCAAGTATTACTTACAGGTTTTTGTTTTTCAAAGTATTGCTGAAGATCTGAGTGGTGAACGTAGTATTGGTGCAACTTCCTTCCAAACTGGACCAGTTCCCACTGTCTTCTAGTTTTGTTTTTTTTTAAAATATGTTTTTATTGAGAGGAAGGGAGAGGGAGAGAGAGAGAGAAAAAAAAAATCAGTGATGAGAGTCATTGATCGGCTGCCTCCTGCATGCCCCTGACTGGGCATCGAGCCCACAACCCTGGCATGTGCTTGTGACCGGGAATCGAACCATGGTCTCCTGGATCCTAGGTTGATGCTCAGCCACTGAGCCATGCTGGCTGGGCAGTTCTTCTAGTTTTAATGTTTCATGAAAACAGCATGTTTTAGCTGTGATGACAGGGCACTGTCAAAAGCTATACTGGTAGTGACTTTTCTGTGGCCCCGTTTGAGACAAAGGCTCTTACTGGACAGGTATTGACTTGTTTCGTCTCAAGAAATAGAACTAGAGATAAGAGACGAAGCAAACTGCGTAATAATATATGCACCGAGAGCCTCTTGCGTTGGACAAACAAATACAATAGGGCTGGATTTTTGTTTAAACACATGAAGTATAGGACTTGAGTCTGAAGCCTCAGTGGAAACCATTTCTCCCTCACACACGTGGCCCTGGAGCCCTGTGCTGGCTGCAGAGGCCCTGGCGGGCGCCTCCGCCACACGGCTGCTCTGAGTCACCTTGAACCAGTTGGGACCTGATGAAAGAACACGAGGCCTAAACCCCTCGCGGGCCCGTGAGTCACCACCCAGAAAGGTTCTTGGAAGGGTAAGAACATTTTACAGTTTGATCAATAGGAGCCTGAGACACAGGCTGCAGGGCAAAGACATGTTGAGGATGAAAAACTTTTGGAAAAGTTAAAGAATTGAATTATCCTAAGGCAGTTCCCAGGAGAAAAAGACAGAGATGGGAGACGTTTTCTTCAGATCTCAGCCCGCAGCCTTCCTAGTCGGTCAGAATTCAGCCGAAGTAGATTTGATGCCGATCAGCCCTCAGTGTCCTCGTCCTGATGCGGAGCCGTGACTCAAAGAGTTTTTTAGAGATCTAAGCGCTCACCCTGGTAGTTTTGGGTGCACGTCAAGGGGTGAAGGACGGTGTGGCAGCCTGGGGAATTAGAGCAGCGTTTCCACGGCGCGCTTCATAAGAGGTTCTTATTCTAGCTTCCCAGCCAGCGCGAACTGCTACTTTGAAAACCTATGAAACAGCCCTGGCCAGTGTGGCTCACTTGGTTGGGCGTCGGCCTGTGCATCGAAAGGTCGCCAGTTCAATTCCCGGTCAGGGCACATGCCCGGGTTGCGGGCTCGATCCCTGGTGGGGGGCGTGCAGGAGGCGGCCGATGGGTGACTCACTCTCATCGGTGTTTCTCTCTCCCTTCCTTTCTTTCTCTAAAAAAATCAATGAAAACAAAACAAAACACCACTTCTATGCAGAGCCAGAAAGAAATAACACTTTGGAATCAAAATGAAGGTGCACACTCCTGTGTAAACACTGGTTTTCCGACCTCAGAGGTCATCTGGATGTAGTGAAGCTTTTCCCAGCTCCTGGGACGGGGGAACTTACACGCCCCTCCTGCTGGTGCTCCCATGGCCTCCGATGGCCGGGGCAGGCTCTCTGTAGCTCAACAGTTGGAGAGGAAAGTCATTTAGGGCTGTTCGGGCATATAAGTCTTTTTTTTTGGTCAAACCAGCGGGACAGGTATTGCCACTGCTGTGTTAGGAGCCCCAGTTCACCTGAGCTGGGTGCTCGGTCTGGGCACGGTACCCAGCCAGGTGGTGCCCTTACAGGCCCTCTCCCCAAATGAGCCCTCTCCCGCAGGCTTTCTTCTGCAACGCTGCATATTTCTGGAGGGGAGGGAAAGAAGTGGATAGCTTTCTGTCCAGGAACACTGCTTGGCAAGGGCAGGCTGCAGACCTGCCAGGTAGCTGTGAAGCCAGGGCGAGGGGGTGGAAACTGACCGAGGAATGCAGACATAGCTTTTCTCAGTAAAGGTGACTTTTCGCCCCGGGATATTCCATATCCATTAACCAGGAGTAGACCTTAAAATCAAAACAAAATAAAACCAAACCTCCTGTTCCATGCCCCAGGCAGTCTTTCTGTGTCACGCAGCCTGTGGCAGCCGGTCAGGGGTTCTGACGGATGGTTTCCCCTTGAACTCCGTTTGGAAGGGCTTCGTGGAACCTCTGTCTGGGGTTCACTGAGCCCGACAGAGCTCACATTTAGGCTTGGTCCGTTTTCTTCTGACTTTCCCCCCTTCGGTTTCTTTCTACTTTGCTGGCCCTTCTTCAGGGGATCATTTTGGGTGGGAAAGGATAGGCATAGGCTCAAAATGACGAGATGTTTTCCTTCACAGCCTAGAGAAGTCGTAACATGTGTACGTGCTCCTGGGTACGGGGAAAGGAGCAAAAATAGCATCCGCTGGCTTTTCCGCGGGCAGCCGGAGCCTCTAATTACAGGGCAGCACCTTGGTTTTCTGTCACATTGCTCACCTGAAGCTCCCTGGGCCCTTCCTACCTATTAGTCACTTTCAGGAAATGAAATGTAATGGAAATTGTCATTTTTATATAGAGACAGGTACACTGAGGAGGAGGGGGAAATCTTTGGAAGCCAATTCTCTGCTTTTTATTTCCATCTTTAAATCAAAATGTATTCTTCCCCCCCCCAAAAAAATTAAAAATAAGAGTTACGGCCACTTAATGAAAAAAATTACATGCAATGTTGTTAACGTTCAGTTTGCAATTGTTGCAACTAGTCGATGCAACATCTTTGTAACTTGGTGTGTACAGAGTCTTAAAACCAGGTGTGTTGAAAGTAAGTCCCCACCTAGCTTTCTCTTGTGCACATAAATTTAGTGCAAGCCACTGTTTCCAGGCGCTTTATGGGGTTGGACTGACATTGCTTAATAAACAATTAAAAAGTTAAGCATAACCGAGAAGTCATTTAGACCTGTGAGTCACTCTCCTGACAGCCAATGAGGCGAGAGAGCCGGCGTTGCAAAACAAGCCCTGGCGCAGCCGAGGGACCCTGGAGGTGCGTTACAGGTGTCGGGGAGGCCGAGCAGCCAGCCCACCGCGCTGCGCACGGCCAGCAGGGCTGCTCACCAGCCAGAGTCACTTCGCACTGACCATGCCCATTTTTACGTTTCTTTCAGAGCCGGGGATGCTCAAAGCACTGGAGGTAAGACAGACCTTTAAAACTTTTCAGATAACGTTTGCATTGCAGGCTGTTTGCTAACTAATGTGAGCAGGCTGAGCTTTTAGGATGTTCAACGTGCCTTTGGAAATGGAAAAAACAGAGGCAGAGGGAGCGAGCAAGTGCTGGGGAATGAAAAGCACAGGTTTAATCAGAGGTATTTTTACAGCCACCTTGGGAAGGTCTTAAGTAGAGGGAAAACATGACTCTTTAGGCTTAACTTGGTGCGTGAAATGGAACTTCCAGAACCTTAGAGATTCAGGTAAGTCTCAAATAAGTATCGTGGCAGTGATGTGGCATTAATATGGGGGTCCGTTTCCTGAATTCTCGGCTGCAGAATTCCACAGAACCCCGAGGTGCTGGAAACGCAGTGCCTCGGGAGCAGGTCCCTGGAAGGAGTGGCTTTCATCCTGTGCGCGCAGAAGGAAGGGTGGCCCTCCTCCCGGGAAGCTGGCAGACCTGCGGCCGTCAGGGGACGTGCTGACGTCGTTCATCTAAGACTGTTTCCTGTTTCCAGGGCTTTTACATTTGAACACGACCACGATTCGTATCATGTCTTATTGATCAAATCAAGATCTGATAACAAATTCCCTTTGGTTTAACACAGAGTCTAACGTCAAATGGCTTAGAAGTATGGTGTCCCTGTCACCTCTTAGAATAAAGCTATTTTTTAAAAAATAAGAAAGAACTAAAACTGTGGGCCGGTTCCAGGCAACCATTGCCTTGGCCTTCAACCAAAAGTAACAGCTTTCTTACCCGACCTCCCCACAAACAATGTCAGAGCACAGACAATTAAAATATAAAATATGCGTGATATTAGGTGAACCTAAGGGACAGCTATCTGAGAATTTTAGAGTAACAATGATAGACATTCTGCGCCAAATTATATTTTAACACATAATTATGTCTCATTAAGAGCAGCGTAATGTTTAGTATGCGTTTGATAGGCTGGTGTTTCTATAGTTGGTAAAAATGAAAAGCAAGGCAAGATTTTCAAACAGGAGGTAAGTCTTTTTTCTATCTTTTTTTTTTTTTTGGTGTGTGCAAGCACGTCATTTTTTCCACCTCGGATATCAAGAGTGTGCTATGAGGAAATTCACATGCCCCTCCTCAGGGTATCAGTGGGCTGTATTTCAGAATCTCGATCCAGGGAATGTGTAACAAGATAATAATTTTAACTTAGGCCACACAGGTTTCTCTAGGGCTGAAATAAATGCCTGTGACATTTCTTGTAGTGCTTAGTCGACAGGTAGGATTTTTCCCCATCAGGACTGTAGGGACTGTTCTAGAAGCCCCCGTGGAGGTCACGGAGAGCAAGGCCTCCGTGTTCTTCCTCCCGTGCTGTCCCTAGGTCGCTGAGACAGGTTTCCTTGTAGAGCTCTCAACTTCCCGCAGCGTTACTTCCCATCGGTCCTCTAAGGTACAGACCATCCTTCCCCCAGGGAAGAGGATTTCACTTGATTTTATTTAAGTTATGTGAAGTGGGTGAAAGAAAGTGTGCTAATGAGACGTGGTTGGTAATTTTCACACGATCGTCAATAATTCTCCCCAGGCATTTTTTTTTTTTTTTATACTCTTAAAAGTTACACATGAGGAATTCATTTTCACATTGATTTTTTTAAAATCAGTGTTTTGGCGACCTGCTTATGAACCTTTGAATATATAATAAGTGTAATAATTTTCATTTCATGTGTGATCCTGCTAATAATCTCTGCTTCGGATGGGTAATTCTAGCGAGCTGCTCTTACACTGGCCTGTTTCTCTGGAAACCTCGGCTGGGTGTAAGGGAGGGCCGGAGCCAGCGGACTTCAGGGCCCGTCGTTCACTCCCTGCTCCCCACTGAGACTGTGGGGACGGTGCTTTCATGCTCCAGGCAGGTGCTTCTGTGATGTTCAGGCCTCTTCCCGGGACTAAGCCATGAAGGCTTCTGCAGGCTCTGGAATTTTTATTGCCTGCCCCTCTCGAAGATCTTTCCTCTCTCCATGTACCAGTTTGTGGTCCTGTTCTGTTTCCTGTTCCATAGCCACGATTGTGAACATTTTATTTTTAATGTTTTCCTTCATTGTCAAGGTGGGTCAGCTTTCAGTAGCCACAAGACCCATGGGTCTCCTTAACCGCCCCTGGGATGTCCACCCCCCGTCCCATTGTAGAGGGGACCTTCAGAGGCCACCCCCGGCTCCAGGAAGCGAGGCCATCGCTGCATATACCTGTTTAATACACATCTGCTTTAAATCTGTTCCTTCACACAGGGCTTGCTACCTTTAAAACAGGTAGAGGAACCAAAGCCAGTTCCATAGAGCAAATGAACCTGGGCTTGTTTTGTTGGTAAAATCAACAGAGAGAATTAGGTTTGTCCCAAAAGAGGCAGGAAGAGAGATTCTTAGACGATCAAGGTATTTCTTTCAGAGAAAGACAAGGTGGTAGGTAATGAGTCAAGAAGTAAAATTAGGTTCTTTTGTTGCTGTTCTGTTCACCCCCCTTCTAGGTAGATCAGAGGAGCTGGAGAAGGTTCTGACGGCTGACTCTTGACCTCCTGGGGCTGCACCCGAGCTCCCAGGGGTGCCCATTACATGTGCCCAACAGCCCCAGCTGGGGACAAGGTCTCATCCGGCTCTGTCCCAGGTTCTTGAGACTATAGATAGGGGAGGGGAATATGTTTAAATATGTTCCAAACATTTTTATGTATGTTCATAAACATTTCCAAATATTATATAATATAAAAATACATTTTAGGTGCTTTTTAAGTATAATAAATCTCAAACTCTCCAAATGCACTTGCTCTAAGTAGCTGAAATTCTCTCTTTTTTTTTTTAAACCAGATCATGGTTTGTTCCATGCCCAGTCTTGCTGTAGAGAAGTTTCCGTTCTCAGGGTCACTGTTTTTCAGTGACTTTCTGGAGGAAGAAACTAAAACATAAGCAGCAGGGCAATGACTTAGTAGAGGAATTTGTCCTTTATGTGAATTTAAACATTCAAAGCACCGTGAAGTTAATGACAATAATAATAATAATAATAATAATAATAATAATAATAATAATAAANGTGAAGTTAATGACAATAATAATAATAATAATAATAATAATAATAATAAACTCTCACTTAATAATCCTTACAGTGTGTCAGGAACGGTTCCAAGCACTTAACATAAATTAACTCATTTACTTTTTACCACAAACGCTGTGAGAGGTAGGTGCTGTTAGGATACAACCCCCATTGGAAATTGGGGATCCAGACAGGCATAAAGACGTTAATTAATTCACAGACAGGTGTGTGACGTTCTGAATTTGAGCTTGAACAGTCTGATGCTACAATTCATACTCTTAATAACTGCCCCATGTCCCCTGTTTTTATCGTAACTTCTAAGGTAATATAGAGTTACCCTTGAACTCAACTGTTGTTTTTCACGTTCTAAGTTTATAGTTTTTAAATAGGACTTAGTTTAGGGATTCTAGGAGTAAGCCCAAAGGTTGAACTCCCTTTTTTTTGGCCTTCCAAGCACTTTGAGAGTAGATGGTGGAAGAGCAGCAGGAAGACAGTTTCTATTGCACGTTAAGAAGGCGGAGGGCTATGTAGGAAAGAAATAACAAAATACCCGTCATTATATGGAAAACATTGTCAGATGTGTTCATTGTCCTCTATAGAGAGAGCTCTAAGACTTTCTAATAAAATTTTAGGTAGAAAAGTGTTTTTCTTTGAAAGCAGTTTTCGGTGAGTGATCACCGTGAGCTGTGACTCCCCATGCGTCTCCTGTCGTGCCTGGTCTGCCAGGGGGCCAGACCTGCGTCCTCTCCTCCCTCACAGCGGCTCTCCCTGTCACTCGTCTTTCCCGTACAGATGTCCATCTCCTTCACTGTAGCTTCCGTGCTGATTTTCATGATCCTGTTGGCCCTTTTACAAATCCACTGTGAAAGGAGTGGGGTGAAAAACAAAAATTATATTTAAAAGATTTCTCCAATTTGCTTTCACCTGAAAACCCTGACTGTCTGCTTGGAGGCCCTTTGGAATCTGTAAGAGCCCATTTCCCCCGTGTAACTTGTGAAAGGAAATGACAGGAGGAACCCAAAGAGGAACCGCTGGGTAATGTGTGCTGAGCAGAGCCAGGGGTGCTCTGCACACAGGCGCAGACCCCGACACACAGCAGAAGAAAACTACTGTTGTGAACGTCTGAGTGATACAGTCGTTACAGACGCAGCATTCCACCCAGCTGTGCAATAAAAAGTGAAAGTCAAGTCCTTTTTAATTAGTGAGATTACCGTAGTTATTAGGCGGTAATGAATTTAATATGAAACCGAACTTGTGACCGTGCGTTTTCAAAGCTTTAAAATCTCTTTCGTTTTGCGTCTCATGTGTAATTTTTGTAATGCACAGTTTTTCTTATGGGTTCCTTTTCTGTAGTAAGAATTGGCTGCTATGGTTCACCAACTGCATGCCTGGTTTATTTCTTAAAGAATTAAGATACAACTGCTCCGCAGTTAAAATACCATTCCCCTTTGGGGGTTTGCTAACTTCAGAGCTACAGGTCTTTGTTTGGAGGTACATCGTCTCCAGTCTCTGGCCTGTCAGGCTCAGAAAGAGCCGAGTTAGAGTTCTGGAGATCATATGTCTTTGCCGGGAGCATTTTCCAACCAAGCCGGTCTGCCTGGGCTTTGCTCTCATAATTATGACTTCAAAAAAATGAGCAATAACACCCAGAGATGGCGAAAGGAAAGATACTTCTTTCCCTGTTGTTACACGTACTAACTTAGCAAGTGGAATGGGTTCAAGTGGAAGACTTAATAGAGAAACGAAAAGGTTAAATGGTAAAAACAAACTTTAGAACCCAGTGTTTGAATCCAATGTAGTCATATTTTTTAAAGGAAAAAGTACAGTATTCATTGGCCTTCCAAAGTGTCACAAGTAATATACTTTAAAAACCCCCAATTTATTCAATTAAAAATTTTAATTAAAAATTTTAAACATACATTTGAGATATTAGCATCATGAACCTCTAGATATCCACCATCGAGATTCAACATAACAATTTATTTATTTAAGGTTTTACAGTGTTTATTAGATTCTTTACAGAGTAACACACTTTCCTAATACAAAACCTTTCTTTTATCTTTCTGCACAGAAACGGACCAATGGGCTGCGAAGGACCCCCAGGCCGGTGGATCCAGGTGTGTCTCTGGCCCTGCGTCGTGGTTATGACTTAGTGANTTTCTTTTATCTTTCTGCACAGAAACGGACCAATGGGCTGCGAAGGACCCCCAGGCCGGTGGATCCAGGTGTGTCTCTGGCCGTGCGTCGTGGTTATGACTTAGTGAAGCGACCGGGACAGGATATGGGGGTTGCTGTAGAAAGCCAGGCGGAGTACTGGCCTTTGTTCCTCGTGGTTCGGTATATAATGTGTGACCAGGAGTCAACAGTCTCGTGTGTCAATCATTTACCCGACAGTGGCGCCTAGGACAGGGTCACATGGCGTGTAACCCGCAGCTCCGCTCTTTCCCCATCAGCGGCTGAGCTGGTTATTTGCTTTACTGAACAGCCTCGGGCGCCTGGTGAATGCTCCCGCGTCCAGCCCACGTCCCCTGCGCCCTCCGGAATCTGGAAGGAAAACCCACCAGCAGACTGGTGCTTAAACAGGAGCATTTTCTACCTGGATGGCGGGCGGGGCTCAAAAACCAGACAGCTTCGGTCCCCTCCCCATTTGGGACAGCACCTTCCCTCATGCCTTGGGTAAACTGTGTCATGGGAGGACTTAGTCCGCAGGGAGCGCAGAGCTGTTTTCCATTTCACAGCGGGAGGCCTGCCCTGTCGTTATTTTAGGGCAGTTACTCGGTTGCCCATTGAGCAATGCCTTCCACAGTGTAATTACCAAAGATTTGTTCCGTCCGTGGTCATATTGTGGGTGAAGGGCGTTCATGGCTGAAGGAGTCCAGCTCTAGAACCGGCTAGTCACTCAGGTGGGGCATGAAACGCGGTCTTGCTGGAACAGGATCCGGATTATGGGTTTGGTTTTTGCACCGTCGAGGGCGCTCGCCTGGTTGTCAAGTTCGGTGTTCAAAGCTTTCTGACTGCTAACTGAAGCCACGCCCGTGGTAGCCGCGCCAGCTCAGAGCTGTGCGAGAAGATTTACAGAGCTTTGTTGCCTCTGGCTAGAAATCGCCTCGCTGGCTTGCTGAGATCCGTTTCACTCTTTTAACCTCAGCACAAAATCAAGGCCATTGAAAAAAGAAAGAAGGGTTCTGGTTGACTTTGTAATAGTTCTGACTTCCCCAAGACAGTGCCCTCTGCAAAGGATTCTGCAGTCATATTTAGAAGTAACTACTATTCTGTTTGGTAGGAGTGTATGGCCATGAGCATTTTTATTTTTTTCTTATTTTTGTGAGTTACAGTATTTCTGTTTCAAAAAATTACCTAATCTTTATAAATGTTATTTTAAAACTATTTTCTCTTCTATGGGCATTTTCGTTTAATCCACCCTCCTTTCCCCCAAACAGGGAAGTGCATTTGACTGTTAACAATTTATTTATAGGCAAACGTATTAGGAGCCCTTAGATTATTTGAAGGGAGTCATTGTGAATTCACAGATTATAAACATGAGAAAGTGGGCCCATAATAAAGTATTTTATCCTAAGGGCGATGGCTTTGTATAGGTGTCACTCTCCTGATATTCCAGTTTGTCCAGAAATCACGAAAGACTTCATGGAGAATGAACTCAGAAATGCAGAAGAAGTGGTATTATATGTTATGTTTGTAATTTTATACATCTATATGTCTGTCTGTCTGTCTATTGAGAGATCTTTCCAGTAAGTATAATAAATATATGAGTGCGTTCTCGTTTTCCCACAGTTCTGAAAAAAGCAAGTAGTTGATGGTCTTTCCTGTTGTAGCCCCTGATGTGATAACAGCCATTGCTCCCTGTAGGTGGCTTTTGACGTTAGCCTGGAGTTGTGTGTGCGTCTGGAGTTGGTTGTCTTTGGTATCTTCGCCTCTTTCTCTCGCAAGTCGCACCGCCGTGTTAGCGTTAACCCTGCTCGATGATGGTCTCACTCCCCATGACCACCGTGCGACTTGTTCGGTGGTCCCCACAGCGGTGTGAGATGCCGCACTCCCAGGACGTTCAGACGGGACCAGTGACGCCGAGGCTTCCTCCGCTCGGACAGACTGCTTCCACGGGCATTATCTTCTGTGAGAGCTTTTCCCGTGGCATTCCTTTAAATTTTCCCTCCAGCTAATTTAGTTGACTTCTCCCCAGTGCTGATACACGACTGCTCTCCAGGGCCTCACTCGGGGTGTTGTAGAGAAAAGCAGTTAAACAGTTTGGGGGGCGTCAGATGGAACCACTTCATCAGATCCCAGTTTTCAGAGCCACGTACCAGGGTGAGTGATGTGTCTTCTCTGGAGACCTTCTGTTGTGGAAAAAGAACTTGCACGTCCAGATCTTCCCAAGCGAATCAGCGAATGACTAACTTTTCCTGCGTGCGGCGGCCCTCTCGCCGTCTGGTTCTTGGCGCTCGCGGAGCCGGCCCCTGCACTCACGCAGCATGCAGCCGCTGGTTGTCAGAAGCGTGGCTCGGGGCCACGTTGCCTGGGCTGCCGACCTAGCCTAGCCGTCCACTTGCAGTTGACCTTGGCCCTTTGTGTCCTTTCTGCGCTGCAGGCTCCTCAATGTCACAGAGGCTCCTCTGTCATATTTTGCTTATCTTGAAAAAAAAAGTTTTTGTTGATTTCAGAGAGAGGAAGGGAGAAGGAGAGCGAGAGAGAGTCATCAGTGATGAGGGAGTCACTGGTCAGCTGCCTCCGTCACGCCCGCAACCCGGCTTGTGCCCTGACCAGGAATCGAACTGTGACCTCCCGGTTCAGGGGTCGGCGCTCAACCCCCGAGCCACGTGGCCAGAGTTTTTGGTGCAGTTAGTAGTGTTTGTAACTGCTGAGTTTGAAAACATACAGAGCGTATTGTGGAGTCCTTTTCAAACCAAGGAAGATATGAGCTGTAGGCTTGCCATGGGGCGTGTCGGCACATTTAAAGCGTTCACTCTTTATTAATAATGGTGGTGAATCTTTGTAATTAATACTTGCACATGGCTTTGCAGTTTAGTTTATATTCTCTTGTCTTCTGTTGTGTGCTAAGAAGTTTACCAGTTTACGATCTTGACTGTTTTATAAATGTAATGATGTGTTAGATGCATATTCCGGTAGCTCTTTTGGAGTTTTTAAATATAGCGAGGTATTTTCATCAGCTTGTACTTCTCTTCCTGAGACATCAGATGCTAGATTCAGGAAAATAGCACTTAGGAGAGATAGATCAATTATTTCAGGAACACGGAGGTGCTGGGCCCTTTTCAAGCGCATGAGATCATAAATCTCAAGGAAATCTGAGCACCGGTATAATATTTTTCCCCTAAAGTGGCACTCAAGGTCAGAGCTACCAATTAAATTTTAATACTGAGCTTTAAAAGTGTCCTTCTGTCTAAGGACAGGCGATACGAGATTCAGTTTGCATGTGGCACATCTGTATAGCGGGATATGCCTTCTTCTCATCAAGTCCATGCTTTAGACGATTGCAAAATCGTCTTACATTTGTGGGACACATGGCATCTTGCATTCGAGTCCACAGTCCCTCACGTTTAAAACATTCCGGCAAATTGTTCCATTCAGTTGTTCATTGTTCTGTGTTGTGTTTCCTTGAGATTAGATGAAGTGGAGGGAAATAAATGTTCGGGTGCCTCGTCTCCTTCTGACCTTAGGTTACAGCGCGTGCGATTTGTGATAACCTTGAATAACAAGTGGGCAGATAATGGGTGCACTGATAAGAGGTCTTTCTCGGCGCTCATGGCGAAGCCCTTGATTGCAAAGAGCAAGGTGGCCTGGAAGGCCTGTCTCATTCGCAGAGGCGACGTCTGACCGTTTCTCAGCGGAGCCCCCTTCCAAGAGGGCCGCTGTCTCCCCAGGCGGGCGGGCTGGTAGAAATGCCATTCCCTTTGTTCCTGCAGGAAGAAAGGAACGCGGGAGATCCCTCTTTCATCCCAACCTTGTGTCTTATAGAGCAGCGTGCGCCAGCAATGTCATTAATTACAAAACACGGCCCCTCTCCGCAAGGAATTTATATTCCGCCCAAGGAAGGAGACACAGGCTCAGGTCTTGATTTATGCACATGAGTGTACATATTAAGATATTTTAATATTACAAATACTGTTTTAGATCCTGATTCACTATGGTGTGGCACATTATCGTGAAAACAATGAGCGAATAGTCTGATAAACATATAAGAAATGTGATTGTGTAGTGTGGACACAAAAGGAATTGGGAAACACAAAAGCAAGTGTGGGCTCCAGTTGCTTTTAAGCTGGGTCATCCACATGTGCTTTCATTTATATAAACAAAAATTTTGCTATGCTGGTTTATTGTATTGTATTTCAGTTTATTACAGTTTTCTTTAATGTTTTAATTTCAAGGGATTGAAAAACTCCTTTCAAATCTAAACGGAAGTGTTGCTTTCTTTCAGAGGTGGTTTCAAACATATTGGCAATTTGCTCAACAGAGAAATTTTATATTTTTAGTTTCCAAATAAGAAAACATTGGGGAGAAAAAATGCCAACCTGGGGTTTTCAAAATCACTGATCTAAAAATACACTTCATGATTTCTTTTTCTTTTTTAAGGAGGCAGATGTATGTTGCTGAAGGCGTTAGTAAATGAGCTTTTGTCTATAATAAATAAGTAATAACATACCCATAGATGATTACACCGTTTCCATATTAATCAGTCAAACCTACTTTTGTCTTTCCTGTCACCTCTGAAACTAATTTCTCATCACACGTAAATCCTAATCTAAATATTGGGAGCATAATTGTAGAAGCGTAAAAATACATTTCACATAGAAAGAATGAACTTGAAAACACGGGTGCAGTAGAGCCCAGTGATGGAGATTCCTGCCGGGGAGATGAGGAAACCCAGCTGTGCGGGCGTCCTGGGGAGCCGGCTCCGGCTTCTAGAATCTCGGAGCTGATGCCAAGCCCCTGTTAAGCTGCGGACAACGGCGGTTGACCCTCCGGTGGTTATTAACAGGACGGCCTCTCTCAGTCCCTTTGCCATGACGACAGATTTCGGAAAGGCGCGTGGCCACGCTCGCCCGCGCCCTGCTGGCTCCGGAGGTGCCCTCTCCGCTCAGGCCTCGCCCCGAGTGCACGGGCCTCCTGCCGTCGCCCGGCGGCGCGCCCATGCCTTGCCCAGCTGCCTTTCCTCTCTCAGGTGCCTCGGCCGGGGCAGGGCAGGGTGGGCGCCCAGAGACGGGCACCGGGATGCTCCTGGTGGGAAGCAGCCCGTGATTACCGGGTAAAATGTTGGCAGTGCTGCATGCAGGACCTACTTCCTTAATTTCACCAGTCTCTTCTGGTCTTAATTTGTGCAACTACTCCTGGAGCCGAGACTAGACCTCTTATTTTAAAAGATTTGTAGTTTTAACAATTTTTTTTTTTTTAATCAAAATAAGAAAATTTCAACTTCGGTTATTTGAGAGATGCTGTATAGGTGTGTCCTCATTTGCAAAGCAAATTCTGTGTTTTACAGCTTTCATCTAAGAAGTTTTATATGTTGCCATGAAAACATTAGGTGTTTGCCCAGCCGGTGTGTGGCTCGGGTTGAGTGTCGTCCTGTTCAGGGCACATGCCTGGGTTTCAGGCTCAATCCCCAGTAGGGGGCTGCAGGAGGCAGCGGATAGATGTTTCTCTCTCTCTCTCCCCCTCTCCCTAACTCTTTCTGAAATTAAAAAAAAAATTAGGTGTTTAATATATATAGTCTTTCCTGCGGAAGCCAGTTGTAAGCAGGTAGAATACAGCTTTGGTGTCCTACCTGGCATATTGCTCTTGATGACCTGTTCAGGGAGTGTGTCTTTGCATGTCCAGATACCAACAGCTTTGTTGGTGGCTTCCTGTTATCTTAAGCGGCCCCAAGGAGAATCACAGGATATCTTGAGTTCAGGGCAGAACTTCCCTTCTTGAGACTGAGAATTCTCTTTCAGTTTCTTTAGAGCACATGGACAGGATGAGATGGATGAAAAATGAAAACATTCCTATATTTCTCCACCACCACCTGCCATTATATTGCTAATATTATAGCTTTGAACTCCCAGAGGAAGAAACTTGCCATTTAAAACATGTAATGCTATGCTTTGGGGATCCCATATTTTAAAAAGTTATGTATCTTCCATTTAAATTCAAGCGGCATCCAAGAACAGAATCTGGCCAACGGTTTTGAAAAAATGAAATGGCAACACCTTCTTGGAATCTGACTGTTCCAGGATGTTTTTTCCCTAGCAAAACAGGAAGAAATTGGGAAAAAAGCATATGGACTCACGTTGAGCATATGATGTATTTTCAACTTGAATTGGCACTTTATTCATATTTGTAGTGTGACCTAAAATTAATTTTGGTGAAGCATCTAGATTTGAGAGAAAAAGATCTCTATCTGGGACTAAATCAACATTTGGGGCATCTCATTAATCACTGCCTTATGTAACGGCTTTTCCCACCTAAAGAGAAGCCACTGGGATGAGAAAAGTTTATAATATTAATGCCAAGTGCAGATCTTGCCTCTCCAAAAAAGAGTTCATTAATCATCATCGGAGCACAAGAACAAACATACTTCATGTCTCTTGCCAATTTTTATCAATAACATTTCTGAAAGGCAAAAAAAACCTCCCCTGTTTTTCTATTTTTTATCTTTATCTGAAAAAGTTTTAATTTGGCTGTGATTCGGTTTGTGAGAATGTTATGTAAATTTAACTCGCTCTGAGAATGCCCATGCAGAGTAATATTGCAGTAAAGTGTACTGGTTGAGTTTGGGTGCCTGAACCAGAGGAAACTAGATACAGATTCCTGGCTCAGCTACTTCCTGCCTGTGTGGTCATAATATGCAGAGATGTGCTTGGTACAGGGTAACTTGCCAGTAACAGGCATTGACGGAAATTCGTATCTTACAGGTAGGAAGCAGTATGGGCTTGAAGTTTGAAAGCATGGGTTTCAGTCCAGGCTTCTGTGTAAAT